CGTATCCGCTTTCGTAGCTCCTCAACGGTTCCTGATGTACTGACCTTGATTTCTTCTAGAATTAAAATCTGATCCTCTTTGCGCGCTATAGAAATCCATGCCGTCTTGACCATGTTACTAGTTTAGTGATTTAAGCGACTTTGTGTGTAGTCTAATGATTTTTTTTCCTGAAACGCTTGTACACTGTTCTTTATGTTCCTAGTGCGTTCTTTTTTTTCTTCTAAAACTCTGTCTCTGCTCGGGCGCCAATTGTAACGACACTTTTTTGGTGACGTTCAAAAATATTTAGTTTTTGCTGGGGTATCCTCAGCCGTCGTCCAGAGTCATTACAATGAATTTATTTTTTTCGGGGACGTAGGTTTTAAAAAAAAAAGAAAAGGAAACGTTCGTTTACTAGATTGAATTGTATAGTTTATTTACTTTGAAAGACAATATTCCAAAAAAAATTATTCCAACGTATGATAAAGTTATTTCAATTACAATGTGATTAAAAATAAATTTATAGTTTATTTACTTTGAAAGACAATATTCCAAAAATTATTCCAACGTATGATAAAGTTATTTCCATTACAATGTGATTATAAATAAATTTATAGTTTATTTACTTTGAAAGACAATATACCAAAAATTATTCCAACGTATGATAAAGTTATTTCAATTAAAATGTGATTTTAATTCAATAAAATAAGAACAAGAAATGTGCATCTTCTTTAGCTCAGGCTCCTGTTGTATTTCCTATCGTACTTGTCGATGAGATCTTCACTTGCAGTGGTTTCCCGAATTTCCTCCTCTGTTGCCTAAGACCGACTCCTTTTACACCTCTGTAAGTTACTTTAATTTTACAATTTAAAATTGGAAAGGAAACTGATTACAATTCTATCCTAGAAGAAGAAAGATATAGTACAACTCGATATGTATTATTAAAAGAAGATATATATATATATGTTTCATAGACATATAATTATGACCGTTGTCGTAACACCAACGCAGGACTTATATATTTCTGATATATGTTTCATAGACATATAATTATGGCCGTTGTCGTAACACCAACGCAGGACTTATATATTTCTGATATATGTTTCATTAGGGTGGCTCAGAAAAACTAAAATGCGATTTTTAATGAGCGCACCCCCTAGGAATATGCCATTGACCAAAAAAATGATATTCCCAAAGTTTTGGAGCTGGGTTTTCAGGACAAAAAACAGTAATTTTTCAATTCAAGGTCATTTTTTATCTTTGTTACTTGTTTCAACACTTATTAATATATACTCATTTGATAGATAATTAAAATATCTTTTTAATAAGATACTGATGAGCAAAGTCGGTTAAAAACTATGCGCAAAACACAATAATTAGTTGAGCGACTGTGTTCTGTTTTCTATTTCATACCTTTTAGCTGGCATGCACAATGCTATCGCAAATGTTTACAAGAAACGGAAGAAACATAAATAAAAAATAAAAATAATACATTTCCACTTAATAATTTATATAGATATTTAAGTAGAATTGAAAAAGTAGTCAAAACAAGAATTTTTTCGTAAGCAAAGAGAAAATGGTCGTACAGGGAGTATGACTGAAGTTAATATCCTTTTAGCAAACGAAGCAAGAGCGGCTAAAAATTGCATTGATTTTAATTTGAACAAATTCGATGAAGAAATTTGTCTCAAAATGGAAGCTGAATCTTTAGACACAGTTGAACAAAATTGGGATAACGCAGACAGAACGATTCAATTTATCACTCCTAGTTTAGTTTCCACCCTTGACAAATGCAAGGTTTCGGATCGCTACGCTATACATATTTTGTAGTTGTAGGTATGGCACCCAGGTGCCATCTAAGATTCTCGATGGATGGCGAAAATCATGTACTTACTAAAAATATTTCTTTTAAGAGATCAATTTACATATAACTCGGATGATTTGTAAGAGATATATACATTTTTAAAGTGAGCATATGTGTGAACATTTTAACCCACACTAGGTTAGGTTATGTTCGGAAGGCACGTGCTAACAGTTGTCAGCACTTCTACTCGGAGACATATATTGCCCATTGGGATGCCCTTAAAAAATTTTACCAGGAGATGCGAGTTGCTAACCTTTGTTATCCTTGTAAAACCATTTGGTTTTCCAGATGAAGTTGCGGAGATTCGATAAGTTTGCTTTCGTTATCTCTTCCAAGCCAGTAAAATAAGGATCCCCAAGACATTAAAGTAGGCTTGTTTGAAGTCCTGGACAGAGACACAGGAAGTGGTTGATAGATTTTACCTCCTCTTCATCTTGGCAACTCCTGTATAATCCACTTGTTGGAACTCGCCACCGTTGGAGCATAGGCGCAATGGCACAGTGTCCCTGCACACGAACTGCAGGCTTGCTCAAACCTTGAAGGCTTTTCGTTTTATTTTTGTCCAACTTAGGCCTTAAGATTCTAGCGACCTTACAGTCTTCGCGGTTAGTTTATAAATTGTTAGTCACCGTATTGATTCCCTCTATTATCCTAAACAGTTTACATATCGGTGTATGTATTGAGAGGTCGGCCTCTCCTGTATGCAATTCAGAACCTCTTCTGGCCATCTCATCTGCTAGGCCATCTTATCTGCTAGTTCATTCCCTTTAATATTGCTATGTCCAAGTATTCGAAATGTACTATGTCCAACAAAGAGAGACCTTATGATGTTGGATGCTCATCAGTGATGCGAGTATCTTGGAATTTAGATTCAATTGTTTTCAGTGCGGCCTATCTACAAAAATCGTGATATTCGAAAGACGAATTGTACTTTGTTGTTTAATGTTGACATATTTTTCGATAGCATATATCTCGCCGTGAAAGACGCTGTAAGTAGCAGAGATTCGGTAGCACTGTCTTATCTGTATATCTTTCAAGAAGATACCTGCTCCCGTACTGCCTTCCATCTTTGAGCCATCTGCGTAGATGTAGAGTTACCGGTCACAGATCCAAGCTTCCAGCTATCTATCTCTGATTAGATAAAGAGTAGGAACCCACTAATGAAGTTATTTTCCTCAAAGAACCTTATTGATTTCGTGACCGAAGAGATAACAAATTTTTTTGATCGTGTTTGCCTATCTAATAGTTTTATCAGTTTCGATCCATCGCCATGGATGGAGACGCAAGATTATAGAGATGCACTTGAATTCTGTGCCAAACTTTATATGATAAATGATTGAAAGAGGAATTAGGCTTATGATGGATTATAATTCGATTTTGACAAAATATGAAGAGGAAAAACAATATGTTCTGCAAGTAGTCGAACATTATCATAAAAATTATCCTTCACATAGTCAAATTTATGTCATAAAACATAATAAACACAATGTATTAATTACTGAAAAAAAAAGTTTTATTGAAATTATAATTTTTTATAAATAATTAACTAAATCGTAGAATATACCTATTATGTATATGTGCATACCATCTAAAAGGTATGAAATAGAAAACAGAGCACAGTCGCTGAACTAATTATTGTGTTTTGCGCATAGTTTTTAACCGATTTTGCTCATCAGTATCTTATTAAAAAGATATTTTAATTATCTATCAAATGAGTATATATTAATAAGTGTTGAAACAAGTAACAAAGATAAAAAATGACCTTGAATTGAAAAATTACTGTTTTTTGTCCTGAAAACCCAACTTTGCTCGAGTGGCGCAACTTCATTTTTAATCCTATTGCTCCAAAACTTTGGGAATATCATTTTTTTGGTCAATGGCATATTCCTAGGGGGTGCGCTCATTCAAAACTTCATTTTTAATTTTCCCCCTTATAACGTGAGCCACCCTAATGTTTCATAGACATATAATTTATTATTATAATTTTTCGGCGTAATACCACCTTGACGAATGTTCATAGACTCGCGTCTGCTTCATAATTTCGCTGTCTTAAATACTCCTACGCCTGAGCTTTCGTCTAGCGTATTTTAAATTCTTCCGTTCGTTTACCTGCTGTGTTTTGCAGCGTAACCCGCTGTGCTTTTATTCTTGGCCGTGTAGCCGCTGTGCTTCTGATCTTGCCGTATTTCGCTGCGCTTTTGACTTTGTTTTCGTCGTGTTTTGTTTTGACAGTTTGTTATTTTAACACGCGTTTTAAAATCGTCAATAAACAATAATTTTTTTGTTATATAAAATAAAATTATTAAAATTAAATTTAAATTATATTAAATTAAATTTTAGTATTAAATTATAGTATTAAATTATAGTATAGTGTAAATTATTGTAAATAAATTAAATTAACCAAAATTTAAATTTTTCTCTGTGTTAATTCAGTGCCTAGTTTTTTATGTAGGCGGAAATTTGGTGTCAAAATTTCCGTCCTTACAAACCCTATTTCACAATATTGTATAAAATGTAAAGAAAGACCAATGGAAATGAAATAATAAACAAACTATTGTAGTAAAATTAAAATTAATAAGTTAAGCGAAATCAATGTGAAAAATAAATAAACTAAACTAAGTTCATCTTAAGTAAAACCTACATATATATATCCCCTAATACAAGGTGAGATGAAAAAACTGCAACAAAGTAAAACGCCATAATTTTTTCATTTTTTTTAAATTTTATTGAATGAAAGCAAAAAATGTCGGAAATAACATCAAATTTGAGAATCGGTTTAGATTTGTTCGAATTGGCCACCTTTGGCACGAACTATGGCCTTCAAACGGCCAATGAAACCATCACACGCT